TTTCTTTTCTCCCTTGTTTAAATGTGACAATAGTAAGTTTTCCCAAGCTTTTTTTTTTTTTGTCATGGCTTTACGGTGATTATTATGCTTGTTTTTAAACTTTTTAGACTTTGTACTGTGAATTATGCTGAACAGGATATTATGACTTATGTCTTTGAAAATTGCTTCGTAAGTCAAACTTAACATCATGGTTTCTGACAACAGCTTCTTATTATTGCAAGGGATGACCTTTACCTGCTCAGACACCAGGCTATGGTATGTTGGAAAATGTATTGGAAAGAAATGTACATATTTTTAGTTTTACCTCAAAAGTGAACATTTGATGTTAAAAAAAATCTTTGCTTTCATCAACCAATAAAACATTGCTCATCATTTCTCTTCAGTCCAGTCCGTTGGGCAAAGTGTAACCTTTCATAATACAATTCAGTTGATTTATATCACACTAATTTACAATAGGTAATCTCGAGACAATTTACAAAAAAGTCATTTCCATTCTACTTAACAGTGCAGCAATTTAAATGCATTAAGTCAGTGAAACAATAATTAAGTTATCCGAGTTAAAAATGTGGATTGCATCATGTCATTGACTTGTTATTGACTTGACTTGTTTATATGCTTCCCCCTCTTCAAATTACTTTTACCCTGTAATGACTGATTTTATCCATATTTTCAGGGGAACCCTGTGGAACCAACATGTACGTTTACTACCTTCTTTCTTTGTTTCTTTATTAATGGACACAACTGAAGTTCCATAAATTCTCGTAGTAAAAGTCACATTAAGACACAATCAGAACGCCTCATGCTGAACCGATCCTCCCCACAACCATCCTCCAACGTTTGTTTATCATGTCAGAGTTTTAACATGAAAGAAAAACACGGAGTACGACCGGTAAAATTGTTACTTTATAAGCCACAACAAGTGTACATTTTATCTTTAGATTTTATGTAACACCGTGCTTATAAGCTACATGATTGTTGGTAAATAATATAACACCGAACAAAAATCCTAATCATAAATCTCTACTGGATTTGCTCCTCTCTTCTTCTGCAGCCCCTGAATTAACAGGAACAACTGACGTTTGTCCGTTCTGTAAGAAAAAAAAAGTTTTGCTTCTTTTACATTGTTGTTTTTAGAACACACAAATGATACAGTACTTAATAAATTAAAATAAAAGTTGTTCATTTACATTATATTCATTTAGCCACAAAAGGAAAGTTATTAGTTATACTCTATAATTCAGAGGGGAAAAGGTTTTAGACATTTTAATGAGATCCAAATTTTTTCAAAGTTTTGACAAACCTTGAAGTCTCTTCAGCTCGCAGAGGCATTTCAGTGAAATTATCGTTTGTGGAGGGAAACTTGCTGTCGCTGCTCTGATCAGTCAGAAAGTTACTAATGTCAGAAAAATCTGCTGTCATGTCATGAGCTGGAAAAAAAATCAACAAGCATGTTTGCAAAAATAAAAGTCGCATCGAATTTTCACTTAAGACTTATAAAATTGTTTTATGATTTTGGTTATGGCTGTAGAACTTAAACTGAGGCAACACTGAACAATAAATAGTGGAAAAAGAGGAGATATTAAAGACATGCTAACCTAAATGGCAACAAATGCAACCGTTGCTGAAAAAGAATCAAACTCATGTAACACAGATTCACCTCTGCAACACTTTGAGACACCAAGTTTTATACTTTTCAAACCCTTGTTATTTGGTCAGTTTGATTTCAGAAGAGCCGATGACATTTTTATCACAGAAACATAAAATTTACTCTTTACGTCTTTAAGATGACTAGAAGAAGACTCACTGTGTACACTCATTGCGATGAGTTCAGCCAAAAGTAAAACATTCAGGATTCCCAACGACACAGCCACACCGAGGCAGAGCCTCTCTTTGGAGCTGTTCGAACCTTAACAAAAACCTGAACCTTAGCAAAATGTAATTAAATACATACTAGATTTCTCTGTAACTTTATTCTTACCTGTGTGATTAGATGCAGTTTGTCCAACAGGTTCCATGTTGACGTAAATTTCCTCCATCGCTTCAGACTCTGTGCTGCTTTTAACACTGACTATAAAATCCACTGCAGTCGTGGAACTAAGTGAAAAACTGTGGGGAAGAGGTGAGATGTGTCTGGTGTTCAACATAAAAAGTAACATATTTTAGAGATAACAGCCAAATAAAGTAACTCATGGGGACGGTTTCACTATTATTTTCTTAAATATCTTACACAACATAAGGTTCTTGAAGGTTTCAATAGTTTCCTAAGTTCATATCTGCTGATTTGATTCTCTATCAATGAATATTTATTTCTCCTTTGTTTTCCTTCAGCTCGATTAATCCTACTCATAATAAACACATTACACTTTTCTATCGGTGAAGAAAATAATTGACTTTTACATTCATGCACAACTTTGCGGTCTACTGCATGGTATCAAAAATTAAAAATAGTTTTAAATCACTGATATAAGGATGAAAAATATCTGATATAAGGATGTTGTGATGTTCCTGCTCCTGGTGTCCAAACGTAGTTCCGAAAGGGTAATAAATTGTTGGAGAAGATGACCTTGGATCATATGGACCCAACAGTTTTATGGGTCTCATTCTGTACTGATAACTAGACATAGCCTTACTCCCAGTAAATACAACTATCATCTTTGTAGTTTTATTTCTAAATCCTCGTTTAACCCTATTCCTTGTCTTCTTACTGTCTCACTCCATTAGCAGAAACACTGACATTAAGAAACAACAATCCCTGTATTGCATTATTACCAAACTTCTATAACCGCTGGATTGAATAATTATGAAATTGTACGTATTTATTCATAATTTAAAGATTTATACTTTTAGGACTGCCGTTTAGTAAAAAGCTGCATGAGCTGCTGGCTACTAGTAAAACTCAGCCACCATGTCTTCTCATCTTCTGAGGGACATCAACAGTTTGACAAACAGTTTGCTTTGTGAAGCACCGCCTCACTGGGAGGAGGAAAGGCTAACATGCCAATCAGCTGCATGTTGGGCGGGTTAAAGTAAGAGAAACCTGATGCTGCATTCAAAGCATGAAGACCAGCAAGCAAAGCATTCACAGAGTGGATGTAGTAGAATATCAAAGTACAGGAGACACAGGGTAGAAGATTTGACTGAATCGAGACGTTGTGCAGAAGTTCAGAATGGGAAGCTAACTGGAAAATTGCTAGCCAAGTATGTGGAGCAGGAAAATAGGTTGTAGTTACTTAAATTTATGCAAACCAATTGCCCCAAAAGATTCAATTACTGCAACATGTAAAAGACAAGTGTAGTTACATTGTGTGATTTTGGCAAACAATATTCTTAAACTCATCCAAAATATTATTCAATGCAAAATTTATTTTACTTTCTGCCAGCAGCAGCAGCTGCAGCAGCAGCAGCAGCAGCAATGTATTTACTACACAGATTAAAGATACATGGTGTGGTTACTTGACATAGTGGTTCTGTTCCAAACCTTTTGGTTTGCTTGAGTAGAAATGGAGTAATGTCTGTGTATGTTAAAATGTTAAACATTTACCATCCCAAAATCCTCACTACTTTCAAATAGTTCACTTTTTATTTTATTCTAGTTGTTGCAGACTCAACTTAAATAGATTAACTTATACAGCACCTTTTTTTCTTTTTTTTTTAGTTCCTGCCGCTTGCTTAAGATGAGAACAAACAACAAGTTGATGAGAATTAAATGAAGTTCACTTGAACTCTTTAATTAAGCAG